AGGCTGAGCCTCTGGTGTTTAAAACCCAGCGAGATGCACCTGGTGCACAGGTAACAGCCCAGCTTATAGACTGAGACAGACTAGGAAGAAGGAAGAGGCTGTCCACTTCTGAAAGAATTGGCCAGGGAAAACCTTATACTGTTGTTAGGTGCCATGAAGTCAGCTTTGACTCATAGCGACCACCCATGACCAATTAGAAAGCCCCACAGGGTTTCTAAGGCCGTGATCTTTACAGGAGCAGACCGCCAGGTCTTCCTCCCCAGACGGAACCAGGTGGGTTCAAACCACTAGCCTGTCAGTTGGCAGCTCAGCACTTAACCACTGAGCAAGCAGGGCTCATTCGAAACCTTCAAAATTTAGTGCATTGCACACACAGCCCATCTCAAGTCACACCAGCCCCTTTTCAAATGCACAATGGCCATCCCAGCCTTAGGACCTTACCCAGTGTGTGCGGTCCCTTCCTCACAGTCAAGGTGAGGGAGCCCTGGTGGCGCAGTTGTCAAACGCTCCCCTGCTAACTAAAGGGTCAGTGGTTCGAACCCACTAGCCAATCCATGGGAAACAGATGAGGCATGCATCTTCCCTAAAGATTACAGCCAATGGGGCAGTTCTATTCCATTACATGGAGTCACTAAGAGTCAGAATCAACTCGATGCCAACAGTTTTGATGGTTTTGATTAATTGCCAATGCCCGGGAACTCTGCAATGCAGAATCCAGCATAGTGGCTAAGGCATTTGGCTGCTAACCAGAACTTCGGTGGTTCAAACCCACCAGCTGTGAGAGGAAGATGAGGCAATCTACCCTGTAAAGGTGTGTTGTTGTTATGTGCCATCGAGTCGGACCCGACTCATAGTGACCCCTCCTTGGGTTTCCGAGGCGGTATCACTATGGAAGTAGATTGCCCCATCTTCCTTCCGAGGAGTGGCTGGTGGGTTTGAACCGCCGGCCTTCTGGTTAGCAGTTAAGTGCTTTAGGCACTATGCTACCAGAGCTCCCTGTAAAGATGTACAGCCTTGGAAACCCAGAGGGGGTCACAGTGGGTTGGGAGTGTATGGGGGTCTGGGGAAGGCGGTGAGGGCCACCACGCGATATTCCACAGGGAACTGTAGCTCCTGGGAGTGGGGGGGTGCAATGCTGGAAAGGTGGGTGGTCAGTGCAAGGTCATCGGGGGCTGGCACCTGGGAGGGGGCGCATAGAACGCTGAAGGCGGCCAAGGGGCCGTGGGTAAAGATGGAACGCTAGTGAGGGGCCATGGGAAGTTAGGGGGCGGGATGGAGTGTTGGGGTTCAACATGGGGGGCCGCTGGGGGCCGCTGGTAGGGACGTTGCACGTTCTCGCCGGGGCACTCACGCACCGAGACCCGCGATGGTGAAGGACACGACCAGCACCGGCTCCTTGGACCAGGCATTCTTGAGGAAGACGGCGAGTCCTGCAGGGGTGAGCGAGGACGGTCACTCCTCAGGGGCTGCCCGCGGTGACCTCTAACCCTCTTGTGGCACCCCGCCCGAGGAGCCCCTTCGTGGCCTCCCCTTCGTAACTTCCGCGTACCCCCGCGCCGCCGACCCCACCATCTCCAAGGATGTTCCGCTACGCTCTCTGCACGGCTCCGCCCGGGGCTCCTAGGACTACCCCAGCCCCGCGAGCCGGAGACGCCGGCACTTACTAGTCGCCATCTTGGTCGCGGCGGCGGCGGCGAGGACGCGGGGCACTCTGGGAGTTGTGGTCCCCGCTCACGAGGCCTGAGTCCGCGCGTGCGCACTGGCGGCGACCGGACCGTCTCTGGTTGTGGTGCTGGCCGGAGTGGCACGCCCCGGGTTTAAGCGTACCGGGCCATGGCAAGGCTGCGGCGTGTGCTGGGAGGCCGTGCCTTTACACTCTCCTTTCTCCCTCAGCCTTGAAATCTTCGGAGGAGGAAATTCCAGTCCTCCTGCTGCGACTTGAGGCAAAATCCTAGAACCCTCAGTCAACAGCTTACAAAAGCCCATTCCGCAGATGGAAAAACGGAGTCTCTGAGCTGTCAAATGATTTAGGTCTCAGCTCACAGCAGTCTCGTTCGAGAAGCGCTAGCTCTCACCCTAGACAGGGACAGTCTGCGGGCTGTCACACTGCCTTATCCCACCCCCACCCCATCAAAGCTGAGATCGCACCATTTAAAAAACAAATAGAACAGAAAATCCACTAACTCCCAGTTGATAACGACTCAAAGCGACCCCATAGGATAGAGTAGAGCTGCCCCATTGAGTTTCCAAGGCCCTAAATTGTACCAAAGCCGACTGCCTCATCTTCCACAGAGCAGCTGGTGGGTTCAAACCTCTGACCCTCTGCTTAGCAGCCCAAGGCTTAACCTTGTACCATTGGGCCTTCCTCACACTCATTTGTTTATTTCTGGTGGCAATAACGGTCCATTGACAATTTGCAGGGAGAGTTCGATGCTGTTGGCTGTCTCCTTCACATGGTGTCAGGATTCTGACCTCGCCACCCACAGAGCTCCACCACGGTGAACCCAGGCCCCCCACCCCTGAAAGTCTCGTCTGCTCTGTAGACTTACTGTTGTCACACCAAGGCCCTGTGGGTAGTTCTCTATAAGATCACTTGGCTCAAGGCAAACGTTGTTCGCCAACTGAGCTAACCTGCCGTTACAGTTAAGGAAAGCTTCATAGTGTATTCTTTCCAGGCGTAGATTGGGGGCCACCCCAGTCTCAATGGATCCAGTAAGTCTGGCTTCCATATGAGTGTGAAATTCTCTTCCGTGATTTTCCTCCTTTGGATCAGACTCCACTGTTGGGTCCTTCATCCAGCCGTTCAGTCATCACAGAGGGCCCGTCCGGACCACACTTCTTTCAGCCGACTGGGGCCAGGCCTGTCTCCCACAGGCTGGGAGTAGCTTGAGGGCACTGGTGGGGCCAGAGTCCCCTCCGGGCCACGGGCCTCACGCAGCACAGGGTCTGGGAAGGAACTATTGTCGTTATTAGGGGCTGTGAGTCGGATCCAACTCATGGCAACCCCATGTGCAGCAGAACCAAACAGAACCAAACCGGTCGGGCGCCAGGCTTACGGTCATTGCCGCGCCAGAGCCCATCATGGCGGCCACCGTCAGCCCATCTCACCGAGGGCCTGCCTCTTTTTCGCGGCCCCTCTACTATACCAGGCACGATGTCCTTCTCCAGGGACTGGTCCCTCCTGATCACATGTCCACAGGGAGATGGAGGAATTGGGGGAGGAGTACGTGCTGTATTTTTTTTAAGTTGAATGAACCACACGGCTGCTCCCACGGCCGCCCTCCTAACTTTTTCCACAGCGCCACGGGACTGTGACACAGCGTCCTGGGGCCCAGCTCCCTCCTCCCTTCCCCATATTCGGGGCTCTGCAGTCTGTGTGGCCTCATTTCCTGGGAGACGGCAGGCTGAACCCGCCATGGCGCTGCTGCCCTTGCTGGTGGCCCTCTGTGAGCTCCCCGTGCCCTTCCTGGGGCCCAGGCTGTGCTGGGGGCAGAGAGACAGGCTCCAAGGATCCTGAGGGGGGCGGGGGGCAAGGGACTGGACTGCTGAGTCTCCCGGAGGACAGGTGTGAGGGAACCAGGCAGCACTAGCCGGGGGTCTGCGATTCCAGGCCAGGAAGAGAACCCAGGGCCCGGACCCCCGGGTTCTAACATAGGAGGAGGGGGTCGGGAATTCCTAGGTCCCGGGAAGAGGAAGGGGATGGGGAGCAGGATTCTCTGGCTGTTGAGGTAGAGTGGGGGTCGGGACCCCTAGGTCTGAGGGAGGAGGGGCTGGGGGTCGGGACTCCTGGGTCTGGGAACAGGGGAAGGGAGTTTAAATTCCTGGTCTTGGAGGAGAAAGGGGCTGAGGGGCTGGACTCCTGGGTCTGGAGGCAGAGGGGCTGGAGGCTGGGAGGAGGAGAAGGCCAAGGGCCTGGCTTCCAGATCACTGAGGGGTGGGAGGTGGCGCTTAGATTCCCAAGCCCCTGGAGAGAAACAGGCTGGGGGCCTAGGCTTCTGAGTCCCTGGGAAAAGAGGGGGCTGAGGGCTGGGACTCCAGGGTCCTGAAAGAGGAGAGGGCTGGGGGCTGGACTCTCGACCCCCAGAGATGAGGACGTGTGAGCTGAGTGCCCTGGAAAAGTGGAGCCCCAGAGCCTGGGCTCTTGGTGTGGGCTGGGCACCGACTCCTGGCCTCCTACGTTGATGGGGCTCCTGGCTACTGAGAGAGAAGGAGGAGCTCTGGTGGAACAGTGGTTAAAGCATTCAACTGCTAACCGAAAGGTCGGTGGTTAGAACCCACCAGCCGCTCTACAGGAGAAAGATGAGGCAGTTGGCTTCCATAAAGACTTATAGCTTTAGAATCCCTCTGGGGCAGTTCCACTCTGTCCTCTAGGGGCGCTGTGGGTCAGAACAGACTCCAGGCAGTGGGTGTGGTTTGGGCTTTGCCTCTGTGAAGACTGACAGCCTTGGAGACCCTGTGGGCAGTTCCACTCTGTCCTCTAGGGGCGCTGTGGGTCAGAATGGACTCCAGG